CAAAGATTTGGTACTTTTACTGGATACTGGATACTAAATGCGAATGTCAAAATTGAATTTCATTGGAACTTGTTTAACAATTTCGCGGTAGCACTTTTTTATTCTACTCATATCTATTCAGAAATGATGCAATCAACCGAGCATCTTTCGGTCTATATTTGATTTTAATCATTCAATCAAATGAAGCTCAGCAAAAGAAAATTATGCTATGTCGAATACTTTTTATATAAAAAACGATGCTTAATTTGTGTTCGCCTACATTACGGTGAGATTTCAAAATAATAAAGATATCAGAGTCAGTTCTTCGTGAGACTGCTGTTTGAAAAACAAAAATCAGTAGTACAAGACGTTTTCAAAGTTCCGATGCCATTTCTCTTCACAACTATTTGTTCGTAGTTGTTAACCATTTTTACGATCACCATCTAGCGTAAGCGAATAGCTGGGAGTAATTCCACGCTAGAGACGAGCCATCCTATTCGTTTGTTGCCATTATATTTCAAAGTGCGTCTCCTAACAATCACGCTTCGAGTAAATTTTGAAATACCAAAAAGTTAAGTTTCGAAAGTTGTTTTCTTTTGGTAGAAACAGCGAATCTATATAAGACACGCTCAAGCGTCTTTAATAAGGACAACTATATCGACCAATTGACGCAATGTATATTTCAACGCTATTTGCCGATAATAATTGATCAGCAGGTATTGTAAAAGTTAATACCACACTACAATATGCGCTTGCCACACTAATACACTAAAAAGAAAGTCTTCACTGAGAAATGCTACGCTGAACCGTTTCTCATGTCTTACCGTTCAACGCAGTAATATGTTAGCACTCAGAAAAAACGCTTCCACAGCGATGGCAACACTGATGGACCCCGATTTCAAAGCATTGTTCAGTTCAGTATAGAAGTGCAGCAGTTTGATGCATTAATCAATCACCATAGCATTTGCTACAGTCTGAAGGACCACACTACTTACAATCGAAATGACATTATCACTACCATAGTAATGACTACCTTTGAGAACAACTACCTTTTTTCACCATAATAAAATAACACACTTTAAAGAATAGGACACAGATGTCACCAAAAACACTTTCTCAAAGAACCAACTCGCTTTCTATAATTTTCACTACCCCGCTGCACTTACGAGGGAAGGTCCCCAAGTGTGAGTCTCAGTTTTGAATAGGATATATACCCGTTTGTAGAGCTCGACGAGCTGATTCTCGTGGTATGTTCCGTTTTTCCCCATAGGCCTTCAAATGAGAAAATTGCTAGGGTTTATTTTC